ATACTTTGCAGGGGGAATGTGAAAAAGGGATGGAAGGGCGAGGGGAAGGAGGCCTCCAAAGAACCTGGGGTTGTCCGCCCTCCGTCTGCCTTTTTTCCGCCCCTCCGCTACTGCGGTGGCGCGAAGGCCCGCGAAACAATATCTTTCATCGGCCGCCCCAAACGTTTTTTTTTGTTGTTCCCCCCCCATCGTGTCCTTCCATTACGCGGAGCACTCGCACTTGCGCTTCGGCCTCGCGCGTTGTTTGCCCAAGCCGGCGTCCAGCAGGGCGACCCATTGGGGGCCTTGTTAATCTTTCTGGCCGTGCACCCAGTGTTGGAAGAATTGGCCGGGGACCAGGGGCTGGATCTGAAAGTTTCCTACCTGCACGGCGGTTTCCTGGCGGGCGCAGTAGAAGCCGTGGCGCGAGCGTTCGCTACCCCACAAATGCGCTGCCCAGCGCTGGGGCTTGCACTCAACCCATGCAAGTGCGAGCTCGTGGTGCCTGGTGGGCAGAAACCAGAGTTGCTGACGGATCCCGTCGCTGGCGCCGACCGAATTGTGCAGCGAGGCGGCTTTCGGTTCCTCGGCGCGCCTATCGGGGAGCAAGCCTTCACCGAGGCCTTCACTGAACGACGGGCTACCAAGGTGGGGCCGACCTTGGCGGCGCTGGAGACCCTGCGCCCGCAGGTTGCCCTCCTGCTGTTCCGGCCCTGCGCGAGTTTGGCAAGCTGGTCTTCCGCGCCGCCGGAACTGCAGGCCGGCGCCTCGGAGCCTCCGACGCCGCGCAGCGGGCTTCCCTCGGGGGACCACTTGCCGCGAACCTGACGCCCAGTGGCACCAGGCCTCCAGGGGCCTGGCGTACGCCGGTCTGGGCTTGCGGCGGCTGGGAGCGCACGCCGCGGGCGCCTGCCTGGCGAGCCTCGGCGCCGCGCGGCGCCTGTGCTCTGAGGTGTGCCCGACGCGCAGCCGGGGTCCGGAGGACGCGGGCGCGTTGGCTGGAGATGTTTTTTTTTTTTTTTTTTTTTTTTTTTTCTCTCTCTCTCTCTCTCTCTCTCTCTCTCTTTTTGCGTGCAACGCACAGCTCCCGCAGTCCGCCAGCGTGCGCCAGGGCGCTCTCGAGACGGCCAAGCAAAGCGACCTTCGCCGCGCTCGACGACTCCTGGCACCGACGCTTCCAGGATAACCTCGGGGCAGCCGGCCGCGCGCTGCTCCCCAGCGCGTCTGGCGCCCTGGAAGTGGCGCCCGACGAATAGCTGGGGCTGCTTTTTTCGAGCCGGAGGAATTCCTCGCCGAATTGAGGAGGTGGCTCCTGCTGCAGGTCTACGACGCGGACCGCTTCTGCCCCTGCTGCGACGAGCCGTGCGACCAGCGTGGGCGACGCGCGAGCCTCTGCGCGGGCGCGGGGGACCAGGCTTGCCGGTGCAACTCTGCGCGCAACTTGGTCGGGCGCTTCGCCGTCGCAGCCGGCTGCAACCCGGAGCTGGAGAGGCCGGGGCTCTTGCGGCCGCGCCTGGGCGACGACTGCGCCTATGGGCGCCGACCCGCTGACGTGTGCATCCCGAGCTGGCACCTAGGGGCGCCCTTCAAAACGGCCTGACCGGCGACCGAAATCGCCGAAGAGGATTCCCAAATGGCCCACAAGAGGGGCCCAAGACGGGGAACACGAACCGACAATTTGAGCTTTCCGCCCCCAGAGGGTTTTTGGAGGCCCCAACAGGCTCCCAAGAGAGCCCAACGAGCCCCCTAGAGGCCCCATGAGGCCCGTAAGAGCATCAACCCGATGCCCCCAGAGACCCCCAAGCGGCCCCCAAAATGCTTCCAGCCTTGCCTCCAAGAGACCTCTGAAAGGCCTCCACGATCTCCAAACGAGCCTCCCAGAGGCTTCTAACCCACAACCCAAGAGGCCCCCACGATACCCAAGAGGTCTCTCAAGAGAGCTCGATGAGGCCAAAGAACATTCATGCTGTAAGACGCCCAAACACGTTCAATAGGCTTCAAAAGCGCCCCGAGACGGCACCACGACGGCTCCAAAACGGCTGAAGAAACGTCCAAGACGGCCGGCGGCCCAGGACCGGGAATGTGAACAGAGAGCCCGACATCTCTGCCCCAGGTGACCCCCCGGTGGCCTCAAGAGGCCCCCAACAAGCCACAACGAGGCCCAACATATATCCAAAAGAGGCAAACGAGTGCGTCTGAAAAAAGGAATTCGGTTTTTCCTTTCAAGTTCGCCTGGCATTCTTGCTACGCTTGCAAAAGGGGAAATATCATATTTCCTCCTCCTCCCTCATCCTCTTTCCTCTCCTCCTGTACCTCCTCCTCTGCGGCCTGCTCCATTTTCTCCAACTCCTCCTCATCCTTATCCTTGTCCTTCCTTCCCTTTCGACCCCTTCACCTCCCCTTCTCCTTTTTCTTCCTCTAACTACGTCCAGCCGCGGTGAATGAAAGGGCCCCCATGAACTGCTACCTGGGCTTGTCTCAGGGCCGCCTTGGGTGGACCGTAGGAAGTCTCGGAAGCCAGTGGGGCCGACTTCTTGGTCCTTGGAAGCCCCGGAGAGGAAGTGTCATAACAGAGAGATCCCAAACAGCTCGGCCGTCCAGCCTCGCTAGAACTTGAGCGCGCGCGAAGCACGCGCGATGGTTTTAGTACTTCTCGCTCTTTCCATTGTTTCTTTTTCTTCATTTGTGAGAATTTCCCTTTTTTTCGGGAAGGTCTTGATGGGGGCTCCAGGAGCACTTGGATCCGTCTTGTGGCCCTCGTCGGGCCTCATGGAGAAATGTTGGAAACTATCTTGAATCATTTTCGGCTTTCGTCCACCGCCTTGGAGGCCATTTTGGAACATCGAATTTGCTGGACCGTCTGAGCCCAACGGGCGTGTGGGATTTCACGGATTATTGGTCGAAGTCCTTGGACTTGTGTTCAGGTGATATCTAGGAATGCCCGGACGCAGCAGTCGCGCTGATTCGCCGTGTTGGAACCCCAGAGACGGTGGTTCGGCATGATTCATGGTTGTCAGGACGCAACAACCACGTTGATCCGCTGCGTTGAGGTTTCGCAAAGGGTGTCTTGGCACAGATGAGGATTCTGAGGCGATCGACTTGTGATGAATCCTTATCGCGCTGGACATATTGCGAAGGCCTTACGGCCGTTGCCGCCGACCCTGAAGATGACGAAAGACAACACGAGGGGGGGGGCAGGAGGAGGAGGAGGAGGAGGAGGAGGAGGCGGAAGGGAGTAGGAGGAGGAAGGGTGAAGGGGGAGGAGGAGGAGGCCTTATGGATGTTGGTTGGGATCTCGTGGTTGACCTCTCGGGGGCGTCTGGAAGGCAACTTGAAGCCTCTTGGGGGCCGTTGTGGGGCCTCTTGGGGCCTCTTTTGGGCCTCTTGGGGCTTCCGGAGGCCGTCTTCGGCGCATCTTGGGGGCGTCTTGGCGCCGCTCGGGGGCCTCTTGGGGCCTTTTGGGGGCCTCTTGGGGCTTCCCGGGGGCCTCTTAGGGCGGAAGTCTCGAATTCTCGGTTCCTCGTCCCCCTCTTGGCCGTTTCTTGGGCCCGTCTTGGGGCCCTATTGGGCCGTCTTGGGCGCCTCTTAGGCTGTCCTGGGGCCTTCTTGGGCCGTCTTGGGGCCCTCTTGTAGGCCTCTTGGGGCGCTCTTGGGGGCCTCTTGGGGGCCTCTTGGGCCGTCTTGGAGTGTCGGAAAGCCGAAAAGGCGAGAAGGCCAAAATCATTCAAAAACCTATGTAAAATTGACGATTTTGGCGCCTGGGGCCCTCTTGGGTGTGCTCTTGGGGCTCTCTTGGAGCGTCTTGAGGGCCTCTTGGGCCGTCTTCGGGCCGTCTTGGGCGTCTTGGGGCCATCGTTCGTCGAGTCGAGGCCCTCTTGTACCCTTTTGGGGGTGTCTTCTGTCGCTCTTGGCTCGTCTTGAAGCTTTTCTGAGCTCCGGGACCCCCCGGGGAGGATGCGTATCTGGGTGGCGACCCCCCCCGGCGACCCCCCCCGGCGACCCCCCCCCCCCCCCCCCCCCCCCGGCGGGGAGGGTAGGGAGGGGCTTCGCCACGACTCAACTACGACGTTGCTCAATGTCGCTTTGGCTCGCGCGCTCAAGGAGACGGGGAACGACGAAGACGACGAGGGACAACGGAGACGGAGACGACGAGGACACGACGGAGACGACGACGACGACGACGACGACGACGACGACGGTGATCCACGCAAGACGACGACACCGGGATGCGTCTTCCACACGCCGACAGGGTCGGCGGATTTTGTAGGGAGCCATGGACAAAAAAAAGAAAATGTGGAGATTGTGATTATTGCAACATCGTTGCTGCGTCTTGGGTTTCCGTTGGTCCGCTTCCTCGTCCTCCTCCTCTTCCTCCTCCTCATCTGGGGATGAGGAGGCTGCTTGTCTGCAGTGGAGTTTACCCCAAGACCAGCTCTCCATTCCGAGTCGTTTTGTGACGGCCCTGGGACATCCGTGGGGGACCCCCAGGAACCCTTTTCCTCCAGGACCCGGTAGCGTGTCCTGGAGGGAGGGGCTCCTTGCATCTGTTTGCCGCTTTCCGTGGAGAAAAGGGCTTCTCGGCATGAGGAGGCCCCCGACGCCATGATCTTTTCACAGCGTCGACCCCAAGAGGTCTCGACCCATTCACTGGGACCGCTTCTTCATCCCGAGTCGTTGTTTTGACGGCCTTGGGGGTCGGCTAGAGCCAGAACACCTTCCGCCGTGACTTGTCCACAACCCGAGAGGGTCCGTGATTTTCCCCGCTTCAACGTCGGCTGCCACAATGGGTGTGGCTGCGCCGCGGTGTGGCTCGCGATCTGCGCCGCTGGGGCCTGGGTTGCAGAGCGTTGCGCCAAAGGCTCGATGGCTCGTGGTCGGGGCGTGGACGCATAAGTCCCTCGAGGTCCTCGCCTGCCCCCCAGGGCGCGGGCCGCAAACCGCACCCGTCGGCAGACCACTCCCCTCGGAGTGGCCGACCACGGCAGCGTCGTCGGTGGCCCGCGACCCGCCCGCAAAGCGAGGCACGCCGGGAGGAGGCGCGCGGCGACGGTGGCGCTGGCCGCGGAGGAGGCGCCGAGACACCTCCTCTGCGGGGGGGGGGGGGGGGCGCCGCCCGCCGGTGGGCGGCGGCGCCGCGGCGTGCACGGCGGCGTCGTCGGGGGCAGCGTCAGGGGGGGTTGCTTCGGTAGCGAAGCCCCTGGCGTTGCCTGGGAGCGACGAGCCCAAATCTCCAGGAAGCGACGCTTCCTTGAGGTTTTCCCTCATCCTGGGGCGCTCTCGTGGCCTCGTTTCAACCCGCTTCGAGATTCTGGGCAGAGCGCACCCCAGGAGAGGTCCAGAGATCGACTTTTGGCCCAGGGGGGTCGGTTTTCGATTTCGGGGTTTTGGTGCATTTTCGTCGGTTTTCGGTGGTTTTCCATCCTCGGGGTGCTGTTCAGCGGCTGCGCCTCGCCGAGAGCGTTCCAGATCGTCCCTGCCGCCGGAGAGCCGAATTATGACCCGGAAGTCACCAGGGGAATCGGCACAGGGGGGCATGCATCGATTCCCAATCGCCCATTCATCGCCGACAGGGGCCTGATGGCCCACCACCCGCTCAGGAGCGTCCGGCTCCGCTATTAGTGGCCTAGCGCCGATCTGTCGGCGATGTATCGCTGATTCAAGCTCAATGTTCCCCCCCTGAGCCAGTCCACCAACTAGCGCCAGGCTCCTAGATGGGGTCCGAGCATATGGGATTGGCGGATCGCACCGCGTCGCCGATGCATCGCCGATGCATCTCCGATGCGGTTCGATGTGGAGCCCGATCTTCTCCACGCCGACGTGGCTGGTGCTATACGGCGCGATCCTCCGACCCGCTCTATTCCGGCCCCATCTGGGAGGCCTCTACCCGGCGGCGGCGGCGGCGGCGGAGGCGGAGGCTCCGACGGCGGCGGCGGCGGCGGAGGGCGTTGGTGCCGCTCATCTCGGCGGACGCGGCGGCGGCGCCGACGGCGGAGGGCGGCGGGGGCCTTCAGGCGGCGCGGCAGCGGCGTCGGCGGCGGCGACGGTCCCAGATCTCCCTGGGCGTCGGAGCAAAATCGGGCCGGACGAAGGGGTAGGACAGGGAGAGGGGGGGGGTACGAACTTTGCTGCGTGCAGCTGGTCTCAGCTCCGCCGCCGGGCCCATTCCTCGATGCGTGGGCGCCTCCGGGCGCCAGGAGGCGCCAGGAAGACCAGCTGCGTGAGCTGATTCTCTACCCTACCCTCTGCTATCCTGAGTCGTTCTCCGAACAGGGTTGCTCCGTTTGAAGTGTTGCTGGCCGCCTGTCTGCGATCATCCGTTGACGTTTCGCTCAAGCTTTTTCCCCACGGGGGATGGTGCCCCCGTGGGCAGTCGGCGCCATCACTTAGCTCTCGCACGGAGTCGCCTCTTGGTTGACGCAGGCGCCAGCGCCGCCGCCCTGCCCCGCGCTGGTGTGCCCAGACTGCCAGTGCGTCTGCCCCGCGGTGCCGCAGTGTCCCGCGTGCCCTGGGGCGCCGGCGCAGTGCCCGATACCCGAGGTCGTGGCCGCTCCTGACGTGCCGCCTGGGCCTTCGGTGGCGGCAGCTTGGGGCACCACGGTGGCGGCTCTCGTGATCGGGATAGTGCTCGGGGACTTCAGCCGCTGGGCCGATGGCAGCTGTTGCCGCCGCCGGCGCGCCCGCGCAGGACGCGATGGACCAGGTGGGTTACATCCTATACGCGGTGCCCGGCCCGCCGCTATGGCACCAGCGTTGGCTGATGCGATCGTGGTCTCGCCCGACCACTTGGTCCAGAGTGAGGTGGTGGACGGGACGTCGCCTGATCTCAGCGCGGTGCGGTGGGCCCCGACGCTGGCGCCGCGGCCTCCAGGCGTCGTGCGAGCCTACCGCTTCGCGGCCGCCCCGACCGCGGCGGAGATCGCGGGCTGGCTCCCAGACGCCCAGGCGGAGGCGCGGCGCTGCTTTAATGCGGCGGCATCCTGGCGTGGCAGTGCCAGCGCCCGTTTTCGAGGCCTGGCCCTGGGCGGCGCCCGTGGGGCCTGGAAGAGCTGGAACCCCGGCCGCCGCTGTTGCCGCTCCTGCCGCAGTGCCGCCTGGAGGAGCTGGCGCTCTCGTGGCCGCAGGCGCCCCCCGGCGCCCGCGCCGCTGCCAGGAGGCGTGATGCCACGCGGAGGCGCAGCCGCGGCGGCTGCGGGCTTGGGAGCTGGCGGAGGCGCAGGCGGACCGCCGCCTCCCGCGGGGGCTGCCCTGGCAGCGGCGGTGGGCGTGCAGGCGCGACCGCTGGTGTTGGCTGGAGGTGTCGGCGGAGCCGCCGCCGCGCCCGTCGGGAACTGGCGGGTCGCGCAGGAGTGGAGGGTCTACTACTACGGCGACGTGATAGCCCCCCCGGCGGGGTTCGCCGGGACAGGCACCCCCGCTCGAGGAGTCGTGCCGCTCGCCGACGGGTCCTCGATCTTCGTCGAGTGGGTCGCGCTGGAGGGCGAGGCGGACTTCGCGGACAGGGCCGTGGCTCCGGACTGCCGCCTCTTGCCAGTTCGGGTCGATCGAGCGGGGAGGCCGTTCCGTTCGCTCGACAACATCGTGGAGAGCTGCCGCCGGGAGCCCCTCCCCGATTTCATCGCGCCGCGGACGGCCATGTGGTGTCTGGAGCACCTCGCTGGGGAGGGCCGTTCGCTCGAGGCCCACTTCGAGCACTTCACGAAGATGTGCGGGCTGCAGGACACACAGTGGGGCATGGAGGAGTACGCTAGCGTCGTCAGCTACCTCAAGGCCTTGCTACAACACGATCAGGTGGACGCGTCGAACATCTTGTCAGTCGAGATGATGTTTCGGCGGCTGCAGACGATCGAGTACTGTTACAGCGACAAGCTCCGAGAGAGGACGGCGGGCTCGTCGGGAGGCAGGCTTGCCCCAAACGAGCAGGCCGCCTTCAGAGCCACCGCCAGAGCGGAGACGCGGCTCATGATCTCGCCCGCCCTGTTGGAGAGTGCCAAGCAGGAGCTGGAGCGGGGCGCTTCGCTGGTCAAGAGTCCTTTGAAGGCGCGCGAGGCCCGCGAGTCGCTGGGCAAGAAGCGTCAGGGCCAGCAGGGCCAGGGGTGATGCTCGACTGGCTCCTCCAGACGCCCCTCAGGTCTGGCGGGGAGGATCGCAACGTGACTGGGGATGCTCGGGACGCGGCGCCGCCGCCGGGGAATTTTGACAGGGGCGTCGGGAGGGACTTGCTGCCCTCCCCCACGGCGCTCCTTCCCTCAACAGGGCCGCCAGCGCACGGGCTCTCGCGAGGGTGCCGACAGAGAGTTGGCCGTCGGCAGCGTCGTGATGCCGACGTACTTCGGTGCTCGGAAGGTCCCGGCACGCTCTACGGCGACAGAGGTGGGGCGCAGCCGCCTGGTGATCTGAGCCGTGGGCAGCAGCGAGTGCTCGAGCATGTTGAATTCTCTGTCTCTCGCCTGGGGCCTCCCCCAGAGGATCTTTCGCAGGCGGCAGCCCTCCAGGCGCTGCGCCTCGGCCTCCCCTACGACGCGTGTCCCTCCCGGCTGCTGGGTCTGAACCGACTCCGCTCGCTCGGCTCTGGGGATTCGGCTGGGGAAGATTTGTCGCGCGCTCTGTTGAGTCGCAAGTTTTGCCTATCGACGTGGCTCGATCGAAATAAAGGACACAGGCCCCGCTCGGCCTTGCGGTGCTCCTCGCCCCTATTTACTTTCCCTTTACGGCGAATACGTTCAGCGATTGGTGAGGCTGGCGTAGTCGAGTTGTCGCTCGAGCCAGCCGCTGAGGTAGTCGGCTGTGTCTTTGTAAAGAAGGGGGGCGGCAAGCAGAGCCTGGTCGTCGACTGTCGCCTTTCCAACCAGCATTTTGAGCCGCCTGCCCCAGTGAGTCTCGTGTCAGGTGATACTCTAGCGCAGGTGCGCTGTGCTGATTCTTCCGATCAGCCCGTTTACATAGGCCAGGTATATATAATATAAAGGACGCCTTCTACCACGTGGAACTTCCCGAAGGGCTCCGCCGCTTTTTCGGTCTTCGAAACGTTCGCGCCTCTTGGGCCGGCGTTTCTGAGGTCCGAGTCGTTGGAGCTTCTCCAGGGACGTGGGTCCGCCCTCGGATGCGGGCTCTGCCGATGGGCTGGTCTTCGGCCTTGTGGTGGCGTCAGGCGATCCTCGAGAGAGCAGCCGAAGAGGGGGGGTCCCCTGCGGCGGCCCGACTCGCCGACGGTCCCCCCCCCTCCTCCCCTCGCCCCCCCCCCCCCCCCCCATCGCGCGCAGCATGTAGATCGCTGCGTGGTGATTTCGACGGGCGAGGCGGTAGTCCGCGAGCGTCTGACGCGTGTGTGTCGCGCCTTGGAGCCTCGTGGTCTGCCGTTGCACAAAGAGTGCATTTCTTGTGATGAGGCTGTCGTGCTGGAGTGGGAAATCGGTTGCCTGCGGCGCGTCTTCCGCCCGACCCCGGAGCGCGTCTGGAATGCTCGTCTCGCGATTCGGGGTCTTTTGGCACGGAGCTCGGTCTGGGGGGGGGGGGATCTGGGGCGCCTCCTGGGCCACTTGTGTTTCGTGGGCCTGTGTAGGCGTGAGTCTCTTAGCGTTTTCAAATATTGTTATCGTTGTTGCGAGGCCGCGCGGAGATGCCCAGCCCGGGAACCTAGGAGCCTCTGGGCATCAGCGCGTAAGGAGCTCGACACTTGAGACCGCGTCGCCCCGCTCATCTGGGTGAACACCTCCGCGGGTACCTGTCAGGGCGTCGTCGTGGTGGACGCTTCGCCGTGGGGTCTTGGGGCTGTTCGGGGACGACCGCCGCTGGCCCTGGTGGAGGAGGCCCGCCGTTACTCGGAGCGCGCGGGGGCTCGGGGGGCGGCCCGCGAGGGCCGACCCCCCCGAGAGCGAGCTTTCGCCGCGGCCGCCGCGCAGCTATACGGGGGGCGCGGAAGGCCCGACAGGCAGATCTTCATAGAGCTCGTGCGGGCCCAGTCGCGAGGCGATCGACCCGAGGGCGAGTTCGACCTCGGGTATCGGAGGCCGTTCGAGGACGCCCCCTTGGACCTCTTGAAGGCCTCCTGGAAGGTATGCGGGAGGCAGAAG